TATTTCGATTTTTTTGCACCCTCAGATTCCAGATTTTCAAATAGTTGTATCTCGACCAGATATTGTCCGATCCTAACAAACCATACATCAATGGAAAGCTTATTTATTCAGCTTTCAGATGATGTATAAATCTCAATTTCAAAAAATTGACCCTTATGACAGGTTTGTGGTCCAGTGTCACATATTGGATAAAACAATCAAAAATAGAATTACTTAATATTTCAGGATATAATATAAATGTAAAAAGAAATATAATAAATATTTAAGTAATAATTTAACGCACACAAATACAAATAATTAAACATAATTACATTTATATTATAATGACATATTTATACAATTACAAAAAATTACATATAATCATATATATATATTAGGGGTGTAACGGTACACGAATTCGTACCGAAAATTTTCGGTACAGGTCTTTCGGTTCGGTATGCATGTGTACTGAAAAAATCATTCAATTTTTTCAGGAAATTCAGACAATAAATGCTGTTTTGGGGCTGTTTGATGTAGCGACATGTCGCTGTATAAACGCCTAAGTTTATAAGTGCGATCATCTTTACTACTAGTTTTAACATGAATTAAACATGAATGAACATCTCATGTAATGGCTCAGTGTTTCAGTTGCGGAAAGACATTAAAACAGCTTCTAAACAAAATGTTACGTAGCATTTCATTTACCCCAGCAAGTCATCAGTGTCCACAGCTCCTTATTCGCTAGAGAAATGAAGTCTAGAGAAGAGCATTTTGAGAAATATTAGACTATATACTCATTATATTTTACTTTACCTGTTAGTGATGTCTTAATTATTTAATGTGTGTTTAAATAAATGTTATGGCAGCCACTGTGTAAATGATTATATTTCAACAACAAATAGGAATTGTATCATTTAGAAGTTAATTTAAAAACGGCATTATGTGCAATTTACATGTGCAATTATGTGTCGATTATTATGGTTAAAAATAAATATTAATTGAATTTAAGTTTGGGTTCTGTTGTTAATTGTAACCTTTTAGTAAAAGGGCAGAAGCTGAGGTAGATTTTTGAGGTAGATTCCCTAAGAACATTTTAATTGTAATTTAATTTATTTAAAGGAAAAGCAATTTGTTCAGTAAACCATTGTTTAATTTAAAAAAATATATAATTTTTTCCTCCTGCTGTACCAAAACCATACCGAACCGTGATGCCAAAACTGAGGTACGTACCAAACCTTCATGTTTGTGTACCGTTACACCCCTAATATATATATTTACACTACTGTTCAAAAGTTTGGGATCAGTAAGACTTGTAATGTTTTTTAAAGAAGCCTCTTCTGCTCATCAAGGCTGCATTTATTTGATCAAATTAAACTGTAATGTATTTCTGTGATGCGCAGCTGTATTTCCAGCATCATTACTCCAGTTTTCAGTGTCACATGATCTTCAGAAATCATTCTAATATGCTGATTTATTATTAGAATTATCAACAGTTGTGCTGCCAAATATTTTTTTGGAAACTGCGATACTTTTTCCAGGATTCTTTGATGAATAAAAAGTTAAAAAGAACAGAATTTATTCAAAATATAAATCTTTTCTAACAATATAAATCTTTGCTATCACTGATGCTGAAAATTCAGCTGCGCATCACAGGAATAACTTGCATTTTAATGTATATTAAAATAGAAAAACGTTATTTTACATCGTAATAATATTTCACAATATTATTTTTTTTCCTGTATTTTGCCATGAGCATAAGAAACTCCTTTAAAAAACATAAAAAATTGTCATATATATATGAATAATTTAAATTTGAATAATCAGGGCATCTTAGAAGCGAGCATCATGTTGTGTCCTAGCTTGTTGACCATCCTTCACATTGATGGTGTAGGGTGCTGTCTATGTAGTGGTCTCACTAGGTCTCTCTCTCAGGCGCTGGCGGATCTGGTTCAGTCCCATCTGAAGTCCAACGAGCCGTGTTCCCGTCAGCTCACCCTCCGCTGTCCGCTCTGCGTCAACCCCACCTGCGCTCAGACCAAGGCCTTCTTCTCCAGCCAGAAACCCTGACCTCTGACCTCTGACCTCTCAGCAGCTGTGAACCCAACGGCAGCGCTGGACTCTAGGTTAGCTTAAGGGTAAAGCCGGTGCACGAGGGTGGTTTCAGACTGAGACGAGTCATAAGTGCCGCCCTCATTGAAAACAAATGCGTTTTTACCCCGGCTTACATTCCAACCTTATACATCCAAAACATCCGCATCCCCTTCGCCTTTTTAGTTTCCCTCTTGGTCTTTCCATCCAGATTTTTTCTTGCATGTGATTGAGAACGCTTGTGTCTTCCCTTAAAAAAACGAAATGCAGTCCTAAAAAAAATGCAAAAACAGTCAGCGTGGAACAAATGACACATTAATCAAATAAACATGGTGCTAAAGTTGTGTGCACATGCATTTGTGCGTCAGATCGGCTTAAAAGAAATCGTTCACATTCATTCATGTGCTTACCTGTATGAGACTGGAGTAATGATGCTGAAAATTCAGCTGCGCATCACAGGAATAAATTAGATTTTAATGTATATTAAAATAGAAAAACGTTATTTTACATCGTAATAATATTTCACAATATTATTTTTTTTCCTGTATTTTGCCATGAGCATAAGAAACTCCTTTAAAAAACATAAAAAATTGTCATGATCCCAAACTTTTGAACAGTAGTGTGTGTGTGTGTGTGTGTGTGTATGTATGTATACTCTTGGTCTTTCCATCCAGATTTTTTCTTGCATGTGATTGAGAACGCTTGTGTCTTCCCTTAAAAAAACGAAATGCAGTCCTAAAAAAAATGCAAAAACAGTCAGCGTGGAACAAATGACACATTAATCAAATAAACATGGTGCTAAAGTTGTGTGCACATGCATTTGTGCGTCAGATTGGCTTAAAAGAAATCGTTCACATTCATTCATGTGCTTTCAAACCTGTATGACTTTATTTCTTCTGTGGAAATGTTGTGTTGAAAAGCTTCGAAACGTACAAAAGCACCATTAAAGTATCGTATGACTTCAGAAGAACTTCGGTTCAGTGTAGTGCACAATTCATA